TTCTCTGTACTCTTTCTAGAGTCTCAACATCTTTTTTACATCGCGGTGACCAAAACTGGATGCAGTATTCCAAGTGTGGCCTTACCAAGACATTGTAAAGTGGTATTAACACTTCACGTGATCTTGATTCTATCCCTCTGTTAATGCAGCCTAGCACTGTGTTGGCCTTAATTAATTAATATATTTTATTTTATTTATCACATTTTGAAATGCCCATCTCCCACACTGATGGACTCAATAAAATATTAAAACATATAAACTTCTTCAAAGAAAATCAAGAAAGTCCAGTTGTCTCTTGAAAAAGCACCTTTGGGAGATGATGGTTGGTTGGTTCATTCATCCATTGATTCATTCAGGAAGAACATAACAGAAAAACAGAGTTGGAAGGAACCTTGGAGGTCTTTTAGTCCAACCCGCTGCTCAGGCAGGGAACCCCATACCATTTCAGACAAATAGTTGTCCAGTCTCTTTTTGAAAGACCCCAGCAATGGAGCACCTGAACCTCTGGAGGCTGGTTGGTCCACTGATTAATTGTTCTAACTGTCAGGAAATTTCTCCTTAGTTCTAGGTTGCTTCTCTCCTTGACTAATTTCCATCTGTTGCTTCTTGTCCTGCTTTTTGCTGCTGATCTCTGCTAGGGGAGACTCCTCCTAATCTTCCTTTGTTTTTATGTTTCAAAATTATCATAAATGCAGTGCTTCACTAAAAACAGGGGTTAAAGCTAGTCTTTCCCACTGTCCTAAAGGACTGGAAAATCCATCCCCTTAATCCTCTTCAATAAACTGTAACCTTCCCAAAGCAGTCGCCATGTTGCTTATTTATCCCCGGCTTGGATGAACCAGGATGAAGACCTATTTCTGACAATTCACTCTTACTCCTCCCCAGGCAGCCATGCCAGACTTCCTCATTCCTGCTTTGAGGATTTTCTTGAGCAACTTGCCTGTTTGATTAGAAATGGTTCCTTCTGGGCAAGGAACACATCCATAGCAACAAGACTGCTTCGTGTCTACAACTTTCTTGGCTTGTCCTGGAACGCAGTGCTTCACACAACGGGAAAAAGGCTTTTTCTGAAACAAGAGAGGTTAGCTTTGAGAGGAAGGCATTACAAACATTCAGCTTAGCTGCAGGGTCTGCATAAAATGAATCTATCTTGCTTCTTCCTCTATGGTGCGATGACAGTTTTCAGCCTGTTCCCTCTTTCCAGGTTCAAGTTTTGCTTGACCCTGGAAGAAGCATCTAATCCCCACCTGGTTGGTCCACACAATGACATCAGGGTCAATGCTGAAACCTTCAGCTGAAGGAGCCTCCGGATCAACCCATCCAACTTTTTGTCGAAGGATCGTCATATTTGCAAAGACAACCCAGTTGAGGATATCAAATCCTGCATAGTTCATTCCAGTTTCTGAAAAGGAGACTTCATCCCCAGCGGTGTTGTTGAAAAGGATGTTTCTCAGGAAGGCATGCATCTGGAATTGCAAAATAAGCAAGCAAACAAGCAAAGAAGCAAAAAGTCCAGGAAAGTGAACTTGATATAAGGAGATTTTGAATTGCAATATGTGGAATAAATGTATTTCTGTATCCCAGAGATAAAAGCCAAAGGATGTTGGCTGGTAATGACCGGAAGACATGTTTTTTTTTCCTCAGCGGCCCCTGCTCTATAGAACATCCTTCCTTCAGAAATTAGAAATCCCTGTTACCCTTTCATAACATGCTATGTTCCTGTGCCTGGAGTGCTGAATATATTAAGCACCCCATTTTCTGACTGTATTGCTAACTGGCCAAATATCTTACTGCCGTGTCTATTTAATCTGGATGTTTTTTGTGTTTTTCATGTTTTAAAATGTTTTTTGTATTTTTAATTGTAATGCATTTTTTGAATTGTATGCCACCCAGAGTTATTGACTGAGATAGGTGGCCATAGATGAAAGAAAGAAAGAAAGAAAGAAAGAAAGAAAGAAAGAAAGAAAAAAGAAAGAAAGAAAAAAGAAAGAAAGAAAGAAAGAAAGAAAAAAGAAAGAAAGAAAGAAAGAAAGAAAGAAAGAAAGAAAGAAAGAAAGAAAGAAAGAAAGAAAAGAATGGAATGTGGACTGAGCTATCAAAATACAGCAATGGGAATTTCAATGGAAAATTCAATCAGGTCTACAGCAACTGGAATTATTAAGGGAAAACTGTAGTATTTTTTCTTTTTCCAGCTATGAATGCTAAAATAGAAATGGAATTTTAAAAAAAATATCAAAATTTGTATAAGATTTAAATAAAGGAGAAATGTAGCACTTGGGGAAAAGAAAAGGTAACTGAGATCACAGGCAAAAGTTATTGAATCTTAAAGCTGTTTAAGAAGATCTGAAAAGTTACCTGCCAAGGCTTCACAAGGAGACGAAGGTGTGGGCTCTTTCTGTCCCTCTTCAATGCCTGTTGTGATTCCAAAGTATACGCAGCGTGTAATGCGTGTGCCACAGAATAGGCTGCGTTGTAGATGCTGTAGCTGAATCCGGTCATCTTTCCATCAAAGACGGAGGCCGGGAGGGTGTCCAGTTTCTCCTCCCCAGTGCAAACCCTTCGGCCATCAGGTGCGGCCAGACCTGCCTTCAAAACCTCACAGTCAAATACAACTTCCCACCATTTGGGGAGAAAGACGTCTCCATGGGGTTCATGTGGATTCAGAGCCCAGAGATAATTCTTGAATCCCGGCACCGTATTTGTGTGGACCGTGAAAGACAAAGCTCCATGGAGGGATTTTAATTTCACCCAGTCGTAGTGATAGCCAGTAGCTGAAAATTCCCATTGGGTGGCCAGGATCCAGACTTTTCCAAAAGAAGTATGGTTCTCTTCTTCATACAAGTAGAGGGACGTTATTAGACTTTGCACTGTATTTGCATCCCCTGAGACAATCACAGCCTGAGCATTGCTATTCAAAATGGTCCAAATCACATCTATTTGATCTCCTTGCAATTCGTTGAATATTGAGATTCTAGACAAGATGTGTTCCACAAAATGTATGCAAATGTCATTCTGGGCAAGGGTGGTGGTCAACATTTGGATAAAATTTTCAATGTCCTCTGAGAGCGGAACAACAATCCCAATCCAGTTCCATTGGAAATAGAGAAGGAGCTGGACAATGGCTGCATTCTGTAGGGGATATTGAGGATCGATCTGGTAGAAGGTGGGGAACCGGCTCTTATCACCCAAAAGAGGGTCAGAGAAGCGGTAACCTAACTGAAGGGAGGTAGAGATGGAGAAAAAGGAAGAAGTTAAGCAAGGGAAAGGGTGCCAAAAAAGCCAACTCAGTGCTAGGCTGCATTAACAGAGGGAGAGAATCAAGATCACGTGAAGTGTTAATACCACTTTGGAATACTGCATCCAGTTTTGGTCACCATGATGTAAAAAAGAGGTTGAGACTCTAGAAAGAGTGTAGAGAAGAGCAACAAAGATGATCAGGGGACTGGAGGCTAAAGCATACAAGGAACGGTTGCTGGAATTGGGTAGGTCTAGTTTAATGAAGAGAAGGACGAGGGGGGACATGATAGCAGTGTTCCAATATCTCAGGGGCTGCCCCAAAGAAGAGGGGGTCAAGCTATTCTCCAAAGCACCTGAAGGCAAGACAAGAAGCAACGGGTGGAAACTAACCAAGGAGAGAAGCAACCTAGAACTAAGGAGAAACTTCCTGGCAGTTAGAACAATTAACCAGTGGAACAACCTGCCTCCAGAAGCGGTGAATGCTCCAACACTGGACGTTTTTAAGAAGAAACTGGACAGCCATTTGTCCGAAATGGTATAGGGCTTCCTGCCTGAGCAGGGGGTTGAACTAGATGACCTCCAAGGTCCCTTCCAACTTTACTATTATTATTATTATTATTATTATTATTATTATTATTATTATTATTATTATTATTATTATTATTATTATTATTATTATTATTATTATTATTATTATTATTATTATTATTATTATAGACTAGCAGGATATCCTATTCTAGACCCCAATCAGAATTATTTGGACTAGCAGGATATCCTATTCTAGACCCCCAAGGCAGAATTTACAGCATTGTCCCTTTCTTCGTGTTATGTGACCACGTACCTGAGAAATCTTGAAATTGTCAAATATGGTTGCCATCTGATATGAGGTTCTCGGGTTGAGACCCCCAAGGACAGAGAGAAGTTGGTCCTGTGTGTCGCATTTGTAGTTAGGGAACACTTTTCCCCAGCTGGAGAGCAGAGACAGGCTGACATCTTGGGCCATGCTTGCATAC